GGCACTGGCACATGGGTCGGGCTGCGGGCCTACACCCACCTGGCAGGCGCAGTGCAGGGACACTATGGCTGGACCGGGCCCTGGTTGGACCCGTGTCCGAGCTTCCTGTCGGTCAGTTTCCCCTGGAGAAAGTGATGGGCGCTGGACTCTTGCCCCGGAAAACACACGTGCACACCGCACCCAACATACACACACGTGCACACACATGCACACCACACACAACATACACACACGTGCACACCGCACCCAACACACACACACGTGCACACACATGCACACCACACACAACATACACACACGTGCACACCACACACAACATACACACACGTGAACACCACACACAACATACACACACGTGCACACAGTTTTGTAGGGTTCACGGGCCCCTTCAAGCTTGGGCACTGGCACATGGGTCGGGCTGCGGGCCTACACCCACCTGGCAGGCGCAGTGCAGGGACACTATGGCTGGACCGGGCCCTGGTTGGACCCGTGTCCGAGCTTCCTGTCGGTCAGTTTCCCCTGGAGAAAGTGATGGGCGCTGGACTCTTGCCCCGGAAAACACACGTGCACACCGCACCCAACATACACACAGGTGCACACCACACCCAACATACACACACGTGCACACCACACATAACATACACACACGTGCACACAGTTTTGTAGGGTTCACGGGCCCCTTCAAGCTTGTTCCTGGGTCTCATTCACTCATTCGACAAGTATTTACCGATGTCCTCCCGCCAGCCTGGCGCTAACTGCTGGGTGCTGCGGCTTCATGGCGGGAAAGGAGTCCCTGCCTGCAGAGTGTACAGCTAAGAACCTTGGGGCTCAGTGGCCCCCAGGTGTGGGGGTTACTGCAACCCCCACCCCCTGCCCATGAAGGTGGCACTGCCCTCCCACGGGGTGAAGGCAGTGCTGCCCCACCAGGTTGCAGGTGGTACTGCACCCTCGCAGCCCCAGGCTGAGCATGGACCCCTAGGGGTCATCTGACTAGAGCTGATGGCTGGCACTTGGTGGCCTGGACCAGGACTGCCAGGGGGCCTGCCGTGGCCAGGACAGAGCACTGCCCACCCCCAATGCCAACAGCATCCCCCTGAGAAACAGTCACATCCCTGGAAGGTGACCACCCAACCAGCCCAGGCCGACTGCAGCGACGGTGCGATGAGCCGAGGACGAGAGGGGGAACTGGACAGGCCTGTGAGGAAGGACGACAGGGAGGAGTTGGTTCTGGAAGCTCTTCTGAGGCTCCGAGCTTCCCACGTGCAGTTCTGAGCTCAGAGCCAGAGCAGCAGCAGGCGGCCTGGCCGGGTTCGGGCCACTGGGCCGAGTCGGAGGGGCCGGGGCCAGTTCATGGTGACCTGGAGGCCTGCTGCCCGTGGCGGGTTAGCGGTATGAGGAGGCTACACGGTCATCCCTCCACCCAGTAGCCCACGTCAGAGCTGAAGGAGCTGGGGTGGGCCGGGCGGGGCTGGGGACTGTGGCTGCTTGCCCCACCATTCCACCCCGTCTCGCCCACCTCCCCGTCCCGTGGGCCTGGAGACAGGGGCGTGGCCAGACGGCCTCCCCAAGCCCCAGAGCTCAGTGAAAAGCCAAGATTTGGGGGATCCGTCTCGGCGGCATGTACCAACGAGGCTGGCTCTGGATGACCTTGTCAGCTCCTGCACTGACCCGCGGGGGCTGCGTTTAAAATGCTTTTTAAAAATATATTTTTTATTGATTTCAGAGAGGGAGGGAGAGAGAAACTTCAATGATGAGAAGGAATCATTGATCGGCTGCCTCCTGCACACCCCACACTGGGGATCGAGCCCACAACCTGGGCCTGTGCCCTTAACCGGGATCGAACCTGGGACCCTTCAGTCCGCAGGCCAACGCTCTATGCAATGAGCCAAACCGGCTAGAAATGCTTTTTAAAATCTTGCTGGTAAATGCTGGACCAAGAGAACCATAAAAGTCTTGAAATAGGCACTTTGAACTAAAAAAAAATAAAAAATCCTTCCTTTGAAAACTGAATATTTAAAAAAACAAGGGAGTTTGAAAAGCCCATTATTCAGAGCAGAGTGAATGGGAAAGTCCTGTCAAGGAGAAGGTTTCTTTAGGCTGGAGGGCGGGCCGTCCTCCTGTGGGGACCAGAATGAACGTGGGCTGCGGGCTCCCTTCCCCAGAGAAACACGAGAGGCCCGAGCGCAGCAGGGACTTCCCCGCATCTCGGCGTTTGGGGTTCTTATAACTGTAGCCGCTCACAGCTGTGACAATACTGCAGCTCACTCCAGACTGCAGTGGTTCTCAACCTTCTGGCCCTTTAAATACAGTTCCTCATGTTGTGACCCAACCATAAAATTATTTTCGTTGCTACTTCATAACTGTCATGTTGCTACTGTTATGAATCGTCATGTAAATATCTGATATGCAGGATGGTCTTAGGCGACCCCTGTGAAAGGGTCGTTCGACCGCCAAAGGGGTCGCGACCCACAGGTTGAGAACCACTGCTCCAGAGGGTTAAAATGACCCCACGCAGAGCCCACACCAAATCCCTCACCTGCGAGCTGGCCCTCAGGACTCCGTATAGTCAGACACCCTCACCGAGTGGGCAGGGCTGTGCGGCCCCTTGGGAAGGAGTGGAGGCTGGGGCCCTGGAGAAAAGTGGGGGGAAATCTTACCCCAAAAGCCATCTTGTCCCCTTAATGAGACCATATTCATAGGAGCGGCCTACTCTAAACGAACCGCTTTATCGCCAAAACGACCTGGGATGCGCGCTCCTTGCCGACAGCGGGAAGAACACGAAGCCATCGGGGTAAGGAGTGAGTGTGGCTTCTCTCGGGCCCCGCCCATCAGTCCACGTTCTTTCCCCAAAAGGAC